GAAGCTTCAGCATAGCAGGACATCTTGCATGGCAGCACAGAGATCCAAGTGCAAGTGCCCCCGAAAACAAGGTGGCGGCTAAATTGCCTTTTCCAACCTAGCCTCAGACATCGTTCAGCACTTATGCCACATTCCACTAGTCATAGGCAAATCACAAGCCTGTGCAGATTCAAGAGGAGAGGATAGAGACCCCTCCTCTCAACAGAGGAGTGTCAAGGTCACAGCCTATAAAGAGCAGGGGGCTGGAAGTGCAGCCATCTTTGGGAAATACAACATACCACCATTGTATTGCAGAGATTCACAGTGCATGTTCTTAACTACCATACCCAACTGCGAGCTCAAGAAGTGGCACTCTATATAGTGCTTATCAACCAAGCTCCTGACCTAGTCCAAAAGTTTTTGTGTAGCATGCAATGCCATTTGGAATCTGGAATGGGCAAAGGGACCAAGGGGAGGGTGAGTTCTGAAGAGGCTTCTTTAGGCTATATTCCCTTCATGTTCATCCCCCACTCTGGAAGCCATCAGTGAAAACAGAAGATTCTCTACACCACCAAGAAAACAGAAGAGCCTCTTATAATCTCTCCACCATGATAGTTCCCAGGGGTGGCCAATTCCATCATAAAAATCAATTTAAGTGTTTCTGAAAGATGGCAAGCGATGTCCCATGGATATCCTCCTCTCATGGTGGTCTGTGCACCATCATCTGGTCATCTGATGTCAAATATTACAGACTTAACCCAAATCAGACCTTGATTTCTGAGGTCACATTTAATACTGCCACAAGATCCACATTATTTACAAATAAATCAACAAATAGTTCAAATTCAAATGGGAACCTATAAGTCTAAGAGCAAGTTTCCAGAACCTTTTTTAGGGAGTAGAGGAGTTGGAGGAGCCATTCAAAACAAGTAATTTTTTATATCACTTTATTTCATATACATGTGATATAATCAAAGCTTACCACTGATTCCACTGCCAATTTCAAGGGTTCTGGATAAACTAAAGCACAATTGAGAGACTAGAGAATCAGGCTATTTAGAGACTCTCCAACGTTAAATCTTTCAGGATCAGATCCCTGGCACAAAGCCAGGCAAACAAAAGGTACAGACTGACTCACTGGACTAAAAACCCACCCTTCATTAGCCGCAGAGGAAGAATGATGTTTTAAAGTGGTACAGTTATTATTTGGGCTGTGAACAAATACCTCCCCATTAACAGTCCCTCAGAATACTAATCTGAAAAACCTTGGTGTTACCAAGGAATTTCATTCAATCTGGTGGGGTTTTTTTTGTTAAAAATAATAAAATCATTGTCTTCAATAAAGTGTTGGTTGATACAAAGGGAAAAACCAAGAATGCCTTCCCTCTCTTTTGGTTTACACCCTAGGTGAAGGCATGAAAACACAGTCAGCTACAATGCACTCGTGGTTTATTTAGAGAGAAACATTCTGGCAAAATTAGCATAACTGGTTAAGTGTTACTTATTTGGAAATACTGGTGTAGCAGTAATTAAAAAAAAAAAACCAAAACTGCTTTACCAGTTTAACTTTAAAGTCAAGTCAAATTTTCATTTTGAATAAAATTTCAATTGACACAGACAACTTGAGCTGGACTATTAAAACAACCAAACAGCAGAGGAGACATTTAATGAATAAACTCCCCTGTTAACACTTTGTCTACATGGATTTTTCCAGAGGTACTGTGTTCTGGCTACATGAGGCTGGCTTTGTTTCTTTCAATAAATTAGAGAAGGGCAAAAGGTGGGGAGGGGAATGTGACAATCACACTTAATCCACACCAGGCCGCCATATGTCACTTTTGTCCTTTGCTGGTTCATTGATTATTCATGAATTCACTACCTGAAAAATGCTGTATTTATCTTTACAGCCACAAAGCTGCCAATTCAGTTCCAAGTATGCCTGCCTTTGTTTTCAGTGAAATGCACACTTTGGGAGAAGGCGGCCTTTTGTATGACACTGCCCTATGCTATAAAACAGGTATATAAAAAAAAACTGATACAATATAGGTGAGTTTCAATGTTGATACTGACCTGAACATTGTTATTATTTTGTAATGACTGTTAGATCAAAAGAAAATGAAGCAGTCTCGGCTTTTAGAGCCTTTGGCCTCTAAAGATTTCCAGAGAGGCCCTAAATCCTACTCCCTACTGTATTTTGTTATCAATGGTCTTACTGTTTCCATTTCTTTTCTTCTTTTATACCTGCTTGTTTCTGGTAAGTATCCTCTGCTATTATGTTACCTGCTCAAAGCTACCTGAGTTCCAACCACTGCTTCTCTGGGATGCATTACATCAGTTCTAGCTCAGAATCTGCCTGAAAGTTTCCTTTTCCCACATACAGTCATTGCCTTGAAGGATTCCACAGGTCATTTAAATTCCAACTTGTTTGCCAGCACATAGAGGAGACATACTTTTAGAAAGGCAAAGAGACACTCAGCTTTCAACACTACCTACCAGACAAGAAGACAGGGAAGATAAGCTTGCCTAAAGACATTTTAAATGCTTCCCTGATGGCTTCAAGCTTAAAACTACTACCACAAGTCCATCATCTTTGTCCTGAGGGAGAAAAGTCAGAGGGAGAAAACAGATTAAAACTATACTTGCATCCTAAAAATTCTGTGAACAGCTTGAAGGACAAAAAAGCAAAGTGAAATCTACACTCCCAAATTACTGTCATTTTAAAGTTTTGTGACAAAAGCCAAAAATGTAAATTGAATTTAATTTTCCCTAGGTGTGCTCAACAACAATTTTGACATGAAATGTCAAACATGTGATAAAGGTTCTTTAACAGTTAGTGACTGAGGGTAAAGACCTAATCCAAAGAGAAAAATAGCACTTCATAAATAGTTCCAACAGATCGTGCATTCTTCCACGTTTTATTTCAATTAACCTTTTGAGGATACCTAAAAGTCTCTTTCTAATTCAAGAATGTGATTAAGACCTGCACCTCCATTAACAGGAAAATGAGGCAGAAGGAGCCTTAATACTTCAGAACTCCATTATGATGTAAGACTAAGTCATCAAATTCCTAACATGATTAACTTATGAGATCAATGTTCATGTCTAAAAAAGCAAAAGAAAAAAAGATTCAAACACAGCTTGACTGTTTTCATGTTTTAAAAAATAATGTAATTGCAGAGATTTATTCATGTTAGTGCCTAATTGTTTTATAGGACTGTCTACCTTCAGAAGCCCCTAACCTGTTTGTTCTCTACCAAATGCATCACTCCTTGTTCAGTCATCCAGGATCGACGCCTGGGCCTCTTCTGTCACCCTGCTTTCATTAGTCAGGATTAAGTTCAACCACATACAACGTGAGCAAAAACAAACAATCAGACAAAGCCATCAGCTTACACAAGACAAAAAGTAATTGTATTCTCACAAAAAAAGACGCCCAGATGTAGTCAGGCCAGTGTATTCTAGTTCACAGTGCCGGGCCCTTTCCCTCTTGATGACGTGCGGTTCTCAGCATGTGCCCTCCCCTTCAAGGTGCAAGATGGCTGCTTGAGCGCCTGCTATCGCATGCCCATAACAGCCAGTAGGAAAGAGGGGAAGGAGGGCTCAATCCTTTCAATAACACTTTCTAGAAGTTCCACACAGCACTTCCATTTTCATCTCACTAGGCTGAATTTAGTGATAGTCACATCTAGCTACAAAAAGACTTGAAAATGCAATCTTTTCATTGGGCAACAATATATCCAACTGAAAATTAGGGTTCTGTTATACAAAGGAAGAAGGAAATGTTTGCCAGAATGAGCACGGTCACAGTCTCCAGGATTCTTCTCTCTTACTCCCCACATCCAGTCCTCTCAGCTCACCACCGTTATTTAGCTAAGTCAACCCTATCAGCATGGTTGTAATTCACCTTATCATCATCTCTGCCTGAACTATAATATCCTAACTGATCTCCCTGAGCCCGGTGGAAACCAGCTATTCCATTTGGTCACAGAAACTAAAGAAAAGCGTGGGAAGAGACATGTGAGTGGGAGGCACCATCACTTCTCCTTCAGGCTCATACAAGCCACCCTGGCAAAGGAGGAACTCTGCTCTTCCATGCAAACGTATTAAGGTCCCTAGGGAAAGACAGAGAGACTGACTGCAATCTGGTGTCTGTGTGATTGCGGAGAATCTTGCTGGGGTTCAGTGGTTAGAGATGAGGGTCTTCACAGAGCAGGAAATCATCTGTACCTCAAAAAACACTTCTCCGTGGGCAGAATCAAAAAATTATCAACAGAATTCTATACTCAACACAAATATTTTCCACAAATGAAGGCAAAATAAGTACTTTTGCAGACAAATTAAAGCTGACAGAATTCACTGAAAGCAGACTTGCACTATGAGAAATTTTTTTAATTGAAATATATTTGACATATAACATTGTGTAAATTTAAGGTGTACAACATGCTGATTTAATATTCATATTTGGACTACGACTGCCTTTGTAGCAATAATCACCACCTCCATCACATTACATAATTATCATTTCTTTTTAGTGGTTGGAATAATTAAGTTGTCTCTTAGCAAGTCTGATGATTATAATACAATATTATCTATATTCTCTGTACTGTGCATTAATTCTATAGGACTTATTTACTACTTGGTGCAAGTTTGTCCCCTTAAACAACATCTGTCCTATCACCCCTACCTTCCATCCTCTGGTAACCACCATTTCACTGTTTTTATGAGTTTGGCTTTTCTAGATTCTTCGTATAAGTGATATCATACAGTATTTGTCTTTCTCTGACTTATCTCACTAGAAATATTAAAGTTCTTCCAGCAGAAGGAAAATATCAAATGGAAATTTGGAACTACAAAAAGTTAATAGAGGCCTACAATGTAAAATACATGGCTAATTGTTAAGGACATTTTTGTCTCATTTTTAATCTTTTTAAAGGTTAATTGAAGTGACATCAGCAAGATGGCAGAATAGGAGTTTTCTACTGTCTTTTCCCCAAAGACCAATGATTAAGACGATCACCTACCGAGAAGAGTGCTTTTGTGCAACTGCAGAGTCCAGCAGAGAAGTTCCAGCTCGCTACGGGAGCAAAAACAGCAGAGATTAGATGCAGTGAAGAAGGTAAAAGGAACATATTACCCCCTCCCCAAGGTGGTGCGGCTCAGTGCCTCTCGCCAACAATTTCTCCCACCAGGGAAAGTGAGAGCATGTGAGTGCGTGCCCAGCTCCCCCAGCTGTACAAGGAGCTGCCAAAGGGGCCCACTTCTTTCCTGCCCCATCCAGGGCACTGAGGTGAGCTGAACAACGACGGTCAGGGAGGGGCTGAGAGAACAGCTGCCAGAGCCGGGAATGTGTCAAAGGGACATGGATCCTACTAACCATTTCGAGGACAGCATCAGGAAGCCCACCCCTGAGTTGCTGGGGATACCTCCCCTGCACTTCCCCATCTATGCACCTCACTCACACATACTCCCACCCAGTGGCAGACTCCCCACGTGTATCCCCCCTGCCCCACACTTCCAGTGAAGGGACGTGTTCAACGCTAGGTATGTAAATAAAACTGTGTTTAAAGAGATGTAAATACAATGGAATGTTATTGAGCCATAAAAAAACAAGGAAATCCTAGCATTTGCAACAACGTGGACAAACCTGGAAGACATTATGCTAAGTGAGATAAGCCAGACAGAGAAACAAATATACTGCCTGATCTCACCAATATGGAGAATCTTAAAAGGAAGTTGAACACACAGAAACCGAGTAGAAGGGTGGTTGCCAGGGGCTGGGGTGGGATGGCGAAATGGGGAGAGGTTGGTCAAAGGGTACAAATGTTTAGCTGTTAGATGAATAAATCCTGAGGATCTATGTACAGCATGACTACAGCAAACACAGCACAATGTACAGTATGGTGACTATATTCTGGTATTATATAACTGAAATTTGCTAAAAGAGTCAATCTTAAGGGTTGTCACACACACACACAAAAAGTGAGGTAATGGTTGTGTCAACCTGATTGTGGAAATACTTTCACAATCTATACAAATATCAAATCATCATGTTGTACACTTTAAATATGACAGTTCTGTCAATTATAAGGCTGGAAAAAATTGGCTGTTTAAAGCAAACTTGATAATAATAAAGTATGTGGGTTTATAACATGCAGAAATAAAATATATGATAAAAATAGCACAAGATGACAGTGCAGAATGGAAGTATATTGTTGTAAGATTCTTGTGTGAAATGGTATATTACTTAAAGGTAAATTAATAAAGTTAGATATATAAACCCTAGAGTAACTACTAAAAATAATAAAACAAAAGGTATAGCTATCAGCCAATAATGGAGATAAAAATGGAATCACAAAAAAATACTCTATTAATCCAAAAGAAAGTAGAAAAACATGAAGAAAGAGGAACAAGGATGAGACACGTAGAAAACAGAGAGCAAGACGGCAGATTTAAACTTGATCATATTGAAAATAAATGTAAACTGTCTAAACACTATGCTTAAAAGGCAGAGATTATCATAATGGATAAAAGAAAAAAAGCAAGACTCAATGATATACCATCTGCAAGAATTAGTTGGTCAATGACACTAATGTTCCTAAGGTCTACAAAAATATAAAATAGCCTCTTCCCTATACCTGGGAAATTACTGGATAGTGCAGGAAGGAGGGCCCAGAAAGGTCCTCACTTCACAGTGGGTCAAGAAATTTTGCGTCAATAAAAAATTTCGCTGCCAGGGAGTGAACAAATGCAGAAAGTCAGACAGAATTACGGATTCTGCCTTTCTGGCAGCCCTAACAGAATGTGCTGAGAAGACAGACACTTTGGGTGAATTCAAGCCTCCCAGCCACATGGAGAATAACATTAATTTGAAAAGGCTGGGGGAGTCAGTTGTCCTAATTCATATCACACTGACCCCCTGAGGCTTCTGCAAAATCAAGCCCCCGATACCAATTAACTCTACAACAGTCATTGTGCAATGTGGAAAAACCTGGTGCTGTACCCAGTCAAGGATTACATCATTTGCAGGAGCTAACAGACATGTTGGCTACATCCTGGCAAGTAGGGCTATCAAACATGCACGTCAGCCTGCTGAGCAAGTCAGCCCAATAAAATAGGTAACCAGGCAATGGCCCAGCATTTTCCTCCTCTGTGAAGTAAAAGAAGCAAGATATACATTTCACTCAGTCTCTTTCATAAATAGGAAGGTATGAGCAACTGCATTTTTTGCCATACAGGTAATTTCCCTGATAAGCATTACAAAGTGACAAAAAAAAATTTCTTAAGAGTTAGGGCAGGGCGGTTAGCACTACTGGATCAGCCTGAGCTTGAATTCCTGGAAAGTAGCAGACAACAACAGAATAGTTTCAAAATTTTACATAGCCTCTTAACATGGATTGTGGTTTTTAAAGCCAATGAGCAAATACTGAGGAAGTGTGTCTTAAGGATAGTCAGAGCTGAGTGAGAGTAGACAGTCTTACAGTGGGTTGTTTTACCCAAGGATCTAGGTGACAAACATGGAGCCAGCATTCATAAGGGAAATCAAGGCAGCCAATGAAATAATCAGGTGATGAGGGAAGCGGGAAAGCCAAGTGGGTGGCTTTTTCTGAGGAGCGGTATAAATGCTTGCATTCGTTTTCTATGGCTATTGTAACAAATTACCACAAACTTAGTGGCCTAAAATAACACAAATTTATTATCTTACAGTTCTGTTAATCAGAAGTCTAACGCGGATCTCACTGGGCTAAGATCAAGGTGTCAGTAGGATACATCTTTTTGGGGGGCTATATGGAAGAATTTGTTTCTTTGCCTTTTCCATCTTGTAGAGGTCGTCCTCCTTCCTTGACTGTGGCCCCTCCCTCCAACTTCAAAGCTAGCAACAGCAGACCTACCCTTCTCACACTGCCATCTCTGGTTCTCTCTTCCAATTCCCTCTTCCACTTTTAGGGACCCATGATTACAGTGGGATCACCAAATTAATCCAGGATAATCTCCATATTTTAAGGTCAGGTGAATAGCAATCTTAACTCCCCTTTACCATGTAACCTACCATATTCAGAGGTTCCAAGGTCTGGATGTGAACATACTGGCAGGGGTGGGGGGATGGCGACCACATTACTCTGCCTACCACAGCGCTGCCAGCAGCTTTCCATAGGGACGTCTCTACTGATTTCCATGAATAAAGCAATGCTGTTTAAAGAGGGGAAACAGCACAGATTCCGGGAAATACAGGTAGCCATTGTGATTCCAAGTCTGTGATTCTGTAGATCTTCAGGAAGAGGTGTGGACAAGGCTGCCAAGAAAGCATCAACAGTACTGCAGATTGGACTGGCTCAGTATAGAGTGGCTGGGAAACTTAGTGCCACTAAGAAGCACAAAGACACAAAAAAAGGTGGGGGGGGGGGGTTAGGGGAGGGTCAGGGTTTGAGTCCAAGATGTGGTACTAACTGCAAGATCTTACTTAGGCAAGTCACTTAACTGCTGTGTCCTACTTTTCTCTTCTGCAAAATGAAAAAGTTGATTTAAATTATCTTCTAAAGTCTCTTCCAAGTCAAAGTGCTATGATGTAATGTAATAGGGGAGAAAGGAAATAAAAAGACCAGAAGTTTACTCTCCTTAAATTTAAAACCAGGGCTTAGCATTTCATCTTCCCATGGGAATGGAGAATAGCAGACTTTTTTATTTTGAAGTCAAATAAATGATACCTTGTAAACACTAAGTATGTGGGAAAATCTGACTCTCTATAGCATCAGTTCTTAAATTTTTGACTAATCCATGTAAACTTAAAAAGCCAACAGATGACATATTTTGATGATTCTAATAATTAAAATATATAAAATGATAATATTATACCATTAGGAAAAGAAAGAAAATCTTAGGTTAACCAATCTTTGGTGCTGGGGAGGAAGGATTGGGAACAGTGGAGGAACCAGTTCCTAGGAAGCAGGAAGTGTCATTCAGGACAAATTATAAGTTATGAAACTGGTAACTAACATATTAATAAACACCTAGAACACAACCTTAAAAACAAAAAAAATAATCAAATGCCCAGTCTACATGATTTCAGAATACTAATTTTAAAAAGATAAAGTATTGAAATATCCTATGTAGTTTATCCTTATTACACAAGAATATTGCCCCATGATATGTGAATACTTACTGATTGTAGCAATTCTCAGGTATTCAATATAACTTAATGTCCAGAAACAATACCTAGGCTTTTTGCCAGAAAGAACTGATAATAATCATTAACATCCTACACAAATGTACCAGAGGAATACAGAAAAGTATAAAGAATTACAGGCAACCTAAAAGTAAAGGGATATCTCCTCTAAAATAATAATCCAGATATCCACTTTTTGGCCTCAATTAACACTTACATAAATATTAGTAAGGTAGGCTTTGGGAATTCAGAAATAAATCTATCTGGGTAATTTATACAGTGAGGAGAGAGCTACAGGGTTTGTACATGACTGCCTGTTCTGAATGGTGAATGTGTAAAAGAAAGCTATGTGGAGCCAGCAGTCTAAGGACATCATAGCTGGAATCAGGGCTACAGTATTTACAGAGTGATCATGGGAGGAAAGTTGTGGTTCTGGTGACAATGAATTAAACATTTGGAAACCTAAGCCCCAGTCCCCATATTCTCTAAAGGCCTAGGTTTGCTCACCTGTAAAATAACAAGGTTCTAGTATTTGAGAGGATAACAGCTATTTTTCACATTTACTGAGGGCAAATATTAAGAAGCAGGCGTACACTGTCAAATGAACGCCTTATGATGGATAAGGGAATAATTTTACATTAGAAAGTTTTGTTAAATATTGCAACATGCCATCAAAAGAGCCTGTAAATTACTTTTTTGTTTAATAGTAAACTTTACTTCTAGAGCAGTTTTAGGTTCACAGGAAAGTTGGGCAGGAAGTACAGAGAGCTCCCATGTATCCCCTGCCCCCATACACACAGCCTTCCCCACTATCAACATCCTGAACCAGAGTGGGACACTGATTACAATCAATAAACCTACAGTGACACATCGTCATCATCCAAAGTCCATAGTTTGCATCAGGGTTCACTCTT